GATTCGTTTGTTAAGTTATACAAAACTTGAAACTCACTCAGACAAAGCTAACCATAGATGTTATTTGTTTTGCTTCTTTAGCTGCTTCAGTATTCATATACTTTTGGCTATGAGTGGTTTGATGAAGGTAGATACAATAATCCTCAGCGAACGCATCCAAACCGATAAATTTTATTATATGCGACTGTCATATAAGTGAGAGATTTAGCTAGCTATAAAACCAGGTTTAATCCACCATTTTCTACATAAGGAAATGCCCGAACCAAGTGAGGAATTTGAAGTTGTTTTCCATTCGTTTGATGTGTTTGAGCTTTTGATTTTGCCATTTGATAAGGGACTTTCCGTTCTGAATTTTCTTTGGAGTTCGTTATTTTTGTTACTTTACTTTTTAACTAATATTATTAATAGAGAAGACCAGACGAATGTTACGAGTGTATACGCGTAATATCTAAAGACACATACTAAATGTACTCGAACAAATACAGGTTATTTCCATTCTTCGTATTAGGTCTGCTTGCACTAATACGGCTTATTTCCATCCCACTGGTTAAGTCTATTAGTACAAATGTAGGAATCGCCATCTTACTTATTACGTCTACTCGTACAAATACGGCTTTTTTCAATCCGACTTATTAAGTCTACTCATACAAATATGGCTATTTCCATTCTACTTATAAAGTTTACTCGTACACGTATGAGTTATTTGCATTCTAATTTTAGGACGAAGATAAATTTAATTTTTTAGTTTCAGTATTTAAATAATTGAAAAATTAAAAGAAAAATTGTATAACCCGACTCTAGGAGTAAGACGGCTATATTGCATCCACCTTGTCTGTCCGTCCGTTCGTCAAACTAATATTTCCGTCACACTTTTTTCAGTAAACTAATAAACAGAAAGACTTTGTTTCATATTTGGTTACCAACTTGACAGTCAGGAGTTGTAACGTGTGACAACTCTTTAGATCTGTCAGACACTTACTAACTGTTTACCGATACTTTGAAATTTTGAAATATGTTGACTGAATTTAAAGGTGTCCGTCAAACATATATCTAGTTAAGTACTGCTCTACAGAATGTTTTCACATCTGGTCAGCAGTTTGATAGTGACGTGTTGTAAGGTGTGACCCCTTTTCGAAGTTTTGTTCTTGTTTTGGATGTTGTTGTGGATATTTTTGTAATAATAGCGAGTTTTACCGTTTATTTTTGGATTATTATTGGCTATTAAACATATTTGAAACGAAAATGATTACATTCTATTTGTCCATTTTTGTTTTATAAATATAGTATGATTTCATCTGTTTTACTACATAATTTTAGAAATGGTTATTTGCAAATTCCTATGCGAGAAAATCGTGATGCGTCTAGAATTAGGCTTCTTGCTAGAAATTTCGGTAACATACTCATTATATATACTTCATATATGCTCTTTGGTCGTGTTGTTGTCTCTTTATCACATTCCCCATTTCCATTCTCAATTTAATTAGTAATAAGTTCGAATATGTCTTATTTTGTAAAAACGGATAATATTCAGATGCCTGATAATATAAAGTTTTTTAAAGGCAGACGAGTTGTGTTATATTTGTATTTTTTTAACCTATTAATTGTGATCATAGATTTATTGATGCATCGTTGGACACGATAACATGGTTATTTAAACTCACTTACAATACCTTCTAATTAAGAAAAGGCTTTAATTTTGAAAAGACATTAACACAATAGTTTAAGTTATAGATACAATGGATAAGCGTTGATTCATGAAAAACAAACCATTCGCCCTCCGGGCTCATGATTCTTTTTCAAGAATCAACGCTTATCCATTGTATTTATATAACAGAATGAACTAAGGTTTCTCGTAATTGTATCAAGAACCAAGTGTTTCAGTGAATTAAGGTAACGATGAATTAAATATAACAAAAATGACGTTGTATGGTTTCTAATGAGAAAAATATCTATCCGGTCCATGTGACGTTAATGTACGCAGCAACTTTAGGTCATCGTACAGTTTCAACAAAAAGCCTTTAATACTTTATTCAGCTATATACAGCTATAAGATGACATGACATAATGTGAAACAATTTAAACGAAAAAAAATTAAAGTTTGAAATTTTGTTCAGGAAATTTTCAGTATTAAATCATGTTTAAAACATTCATTTTAAGCTCAATTGTTGTATAAACAAAAAAGTAAAGTCGGTACGATTGGCTCGTATATAGTATGTTGGTGAGTCAGAACAGCAACTTTACTAAAGTATGAACGACCATAGTAGTAATAATAAACTGAAAACATTTGCTGTCTGGATTAATTTGTGGCAGGCCTTCCTAATAGCCTAACTCTAAGCCAGATTCTCATCCTGCAATGAATTGGTAAGGTTTGAATATTCATATTAGAATTCGATTGGTCAATTTACTCGTTGAAAATGAATATTGGAAAACATAAAAATTTATAACTTTAGAAACCTTAAATATCGCCAATTAAATATTTTATAACAATTATATTTTAAATATTCACGATATGGGTGATAAGTCCTTCCTTGTAAAAAAACTACAAATTTTGGTGAAAAACTTTAAGCATTCACCGTTCACTGCCGCTTTAACATTGCAAATTCATTGTGAGATCAGGATATGGCTTAGGATTGGCATGTCATGAAATAATTCAGACAGCAAACGTAGGCAGGCGTGCTATGATTCATCATTAATAAGATAGAGTGTCATTTCACCAAAATTCAAGTTGAGTGATAGACCTGATCCCTTGAACACCGACGAAGTGCTAATTTCGTGATTCACCTTTACATTTTATTGATTCCGGTAACTTTAGATGCTACTCGAACGCGTTCAGCAATTTGAACTGCTCGACGTGATTAAATATTTAAAATATGAGCATTACTATCATGATCTAACAGACTTTTCTAAAAGATAAAAGACTGAAATTATCCATAAAGGTAAAGATTATATATTTTCTTGTGGAGGCAAGATGATATAAATACTACATCTTATTGATTCGAATTGACATTTTCGCAAGACATTTGTAATGACTATAATTTACAATTAGTTAAAAAATGAATCTTTATAGTTGAAAACTAAATATCTGATCTCAAAGATGATATAAATAATGGATTTTTCACACAACTTTGTTGACATATGCGTACCATACACTAAACTGACATTCCTATTCTTCAATTTAATTTGAGATATAGATTTCTATTCATTGAACCAGTTTCAGTTTTTACCAAGCTGATCTTCTCCATTCCACTAGAGACATATAATATAACGTCTGAGATTCCGCAAACAATTTTTGATAGCCTAAAAAGATAAAAAATTTAACATCTTTTTATTTTCTCTGTGTTATTTAAACGTTTTAGTGCACCATTAAGAGTTAACTCCCCTAACTTTTATTTAAACCCGGGAACCTCAATTAATATTTTTTAGACGGATTTCATATATATAGTCTACATTTTCATTTTCAAATCTCTTAATATCACGGCCACTGACGACGATTTTCAATGAAAGGGACCGAAGATAAGTTGTATTTTATTCGACGAGCTCTGTAACAGCTTTCAGATTTTGCACTAAACAATAATTAAACGCAGAATTGGAATTTTCAATACTTGTTTCTTAATTTGAAGAAGGAGCAAACAATAATGGTTTCTGTTCTGTAGCGACATTTCAAACAAAGACATTATGAAAAAATAATTACATTATATGTATGTTTCATAAAAATCCATTCTTAAGATTGGATGACAAAAATTGCTAGGCGTTCCAAAATCAAATATTTGTTTTCTCAATCAAATGCAACCGACTGCATGCGCTGCCCATGACAACTTCACACTGATGCATAAGAAAATATCGTTATTTCGTGGTTATAGCATATACTTATTATTACAGGAATAGAATGCTTCTCATTTAAAAATTCCGCGAGTCATTGAACTAGTCTTTTGCACATACCAGTATGACGTCACATGTCCTGTTCCGGCGTCAAACTTTAACAGATTTTCAAAACTATTTGTAATCTTCAGAACGTAATAAAAATTGACTAAGAGAAGATTTTCAGGTGAAAAGTATGAGTGTTTTGTACATTATTGAAGAAATCACATATGTCCGTTGCCATGGACGAAATGTACATCGTCTTAACCTTTGAAAGTCATCAATGTCCAAACGAATAGCCAATGGAAATGTCATAATATCGTCTCACGATGCTGGATAAGCCAATCAAATTCAAAATCCTTGCAGTGTGATACGAGAAATATCTCTTCATGCAAGAAATAAATAACAGGCCACAACCATAAGATAATCATTTTTTTTCAATTTTAGATTAATTTCAGGGATGTTGTTGTTTTTTTTAAATATTCTAAACAGAACATTATTTAAAGCATAAAAACGATAGATCATTTGTTGCAACGAGGTTACTGTTATGTAGATAATCAAAATATGCATTATCATTGCAAACGTGCGTTCTAAGCATTTTTCACTATTTCATATACCTAATTTAGTGCGAAACATCAAAAACTGCCAAAATATGCCATTTTGATATCTTGTCGTTAATATTTAGAAATGAGCAAGAGCTTTACTCAAAAATACATTTTGTAACAACGTGTCTTTCACAAAGATTTTTGATTCACAAAGATTTGAATAAATGCGTGTAAAACATCTTTTTGGGTAAAGCTCTTGATCAAAAATATTTTGACTAAAAATTATGTGTGGCATAACACGACAAAAATATTGCATTAGATGAAACTGGTTGTATTTATATAAACAACCACACTGATTGTGAATTTAAATGTGGAATGTGATTTGCACATCGTATTTAAACCAAAAAGAGTGTCGTTGCCAATCAATAATAAACAATATGTGCCTTAATTAACAGATTAACTTATTGAAAGAAGAAAATGAACTTAATTTTTAGTCATACTTAGTTATTGCATATTCATTTTGTGCAATAAATATACAATTATAGATTTGTTTTGTTTCATTCCTTCGCCAGAATAATATAAACAACAAACAATTGAAATTTGGCTTATTATTTGTCATGGCATTTATTCAACAATATTCAACAATATCAACCAACAAACAACCAACATCAACAAACTGGCCAACAAGTTAAAACTTGATGACAATTGGTCACTGAAGGTAAAACCAACAGTAAATGCATAATAATTTCTAGCTGCTGGGCAGATCCATAACAGCTCAATGAACAATATTTGAATAAATCACTGCCAAAATTGGCATTTTAGTGAACTCTCAATCAAATGCTAATCCGCCATGACAATTGAATAAGCAGCATAAATTAAACAAAAATATGATCAACTAGTTGTTATTCATTCTAACATACAACAAATATAAACAAACATCATTCATGCATCGGATAAACAGAATTATTTGGTATATAATCAAACTGTTCTAAAGCAGTTTGAAAAGAATTCAAAACTATATCATTGCCAATAAACGATAAATATACTCCATCATGACTAACCAAAAATAAAAGTTTGACTTCAAAATCAGAATGAATTATAGTGTAACCCCCCAGTTTTAATTAAATGTGATTTAATTCCCCTATTAATACGTTTCCTGGTTCCATCCATTGCTCTTAAATCTTTTGAACATCTTCATTTCAACCTTGGTAATATGCTTGAAAAAATAATTTTTTAACTTCCATTCACCATACGTCCAACTATATCTAGCATAAATTAAATATAATATAAAAGTTTTTGCACAGTTTACAAGTCTAATTTCATTGCCACCACAGTGGAGCAAAACAGCATCTGGTAAACCCCCACCATGTTTCACATTCTCTACTATTGGTACAAAATTATATAGTGACATACCGGACATTCCTGCCCACATCAACTTGTATATAACTGTAAGTGATCTGTAAATGTTTTGACAAAACAATGTTCATCATCATTATCATTTGAGGACAATATTAAACTTGTCGAACAACCAATTTGATCCTTCTTAGAAGACATAATTGTAACAAAAATTTTAGAATTAATATCATCAAAATTAATATCTGAAATTGTTTTAAACATGATTATCAGTTTTGTGATTTCTCCTATTCTCATAAATCCAAAAAAGGCTTAAGCAAATCCTCCCCTTAACATTTACCAACATTGAAGAATTAATTCAAGTTGTTTTAATACATCAACAGTAATAGGTTTCTTGAATCATATCTATTACCCAGACGCTGCATACCTTTTAACATTATTTCCAAAATGAATGATTTGCTATAATCATTTCAATTATTCATTTTCAACTTATGATTAATTCCTGATAGATATGTTTTGAAGGTTATAGGAATAACTATTTTTGAAAGATATGTAAATTAATTGTATGATTAACAGGAGGTGGCCAACTTTCCTCTATTCGAAAAAAGGTCAGAAATTTATGAATGAATAGATGCATTTTCATACACATCCATTGTATTTGAAGAAACAGATTGCTGTAAAAGTTTATTCACTTCATCTTTAAAAGGTTCCAGAACTCCACTGGAATTGGATGTGGAAAATCGCTGTCAAGTGGTGCAGACATTGAAATTGTGAAAATTTGCACGAGATAATGCATCAGCAATTGCATTGTCCTTTGACAAAATGTGAACAGCTTTAAACTGAAAATTACCAATGAGTGAACAGTGAATAATTAAACTCAAAACGGACGTAACTAGTAAATATTTTCTTGACATTTTGTTTAAAACATTCGCTACTGCCAGATTATCAATGTGAAAAAGTATGTTTCTTGTATAATTTATCAAACTAGTGTTATTGGAATGATTTCAAAATATGTTATATCTTCAATTATTTCTGAACTATTCCATTCTTTATGCCACTCAATTGACCATTAATATAAATGCACACCCTTTACCTAATTCACCAGCACTATCTGTATATAGTTCAATATAAAAATTTGATATCCATCCTATGTCATTTAAATACGAAATCCTGTTATACTGTTCCAAAATTAATTTCCATATCAATAGCTAAAAATGAAACGATTTTGACACTTTGTCCATGGTTGAATACAACTAAACGCTCTTCCAGCAGGTATAGTCTTCGCGTAGAAAACTAATGAACCACATATTGGCTGCAATTTTTTTAACGTTACTTTTTTCATGGCTTATAAATTATTAATTCAGTTTAAAAGTTCTTCAATCTTTTCATGTGGAATTTAAACAAGCATATTAATAGTATCAATTGTAAGACCCAGATACTCAATCAGTGTAGTTGGACCTTCATTTTTTTTTATTTGCAAGTGAGACTACAATATCCTTGCAAATTTCATCATTCTGAAATATCAGTTGTTCACATTCATCAGAATTTGATTAGCCAACAAAATTAAAAATCTTCCAAATAGTGGTCTATATTATCTAAACCAGATTGTTTTAAAAACCAATTCAAAAAGGCTAAAAACTTCTCAAATTTAGCATATGAAATTGAGCAGTCCAATGTCATTGCCTCGTCTATGTAGTATTCATCTACAATTTTAAAACCAAGTAGTCAAAATCTCATGTATAAACCGGAAGTAATCAACAGCATTATCAAATGAAGAATATTTAACGAGGTAAACCTTTCATCAATGAAATGGGTAATCAGACGAAAAAACTTCTTTTTTTTTTTTTAACTAATCCAATTGGAGAATATCTAAGATTAGATATTGGTCTTTTACAAAAAGGACCTGCTATTCTTCATAATGATATTTCAGATTCAATCTTACATCTAGCTTCAATAGGATTTGACAAAACAGATTTTAAATTTTTGATTCAAGTGGAAATCTTGGTCAATCATGATTCAAGCTAAATCCAAATTTAAAACCAATAAACAAAATTTGTTTATCCTGTTCATTAGGATAATCTTAATTGTTCAATATTAATAGGCAAATGTCCCTTCTTCCAAATATCATATTTATCCTTTGACAATTCTGAAAGAAAAGTTAACTATATGTCATTTGATTAAATCTAGGGACGGAATACCTTGTGTTTATTGGTGGCCTATATCTATTTGTTGAACAAATGAAGGCCTGTTTTGTTGAAACTGGTTAGACATACGAGATCTATTTTGGATAAACACTGGTGGCATCAATGATCCCTTATGAAAACCTTGGTTACTTTGTAAGCTATCAAATCTAACACATAAGACTGGATGTTGTAATGAACATTTCATACAGTTATGTCTGTAAAACACTTGAGATTTATCACAATAACCTTTAAAGTTATAGTCAAAACAAGGTCTTTGTAAGTTAACGTGGCAAACTACAGGATTAGGTGTGCCTTGCGATCCCTCTACAATGAATTTCAACCAAAGAAAGCCATCAATCTCAGACAAAGATTTGGAGTGTTTTAGTGATACACTTAATCTAAATTTTCTATCATACGGGTAAACTCTGTCAAAAGGTGCATCTGATATAAAATCATTTATGATTAACATGTATGTAAACAAGTCTTGTGCTAAGCTAGCATGTTTTTGGAGAAGAATTTTAGAAAAAAATTGCAAATGCTTCAGTCCATAATTCAATGTTATTTATTGTATTGTCCTTTGAAGTTTAATGAGAAATGACAAGCATTCCATTTTTAACAGTAACACTTTGTTTCTGGTCCAAACTACTATAATATTGACTATTTTGTTTAAGAAGAGTACCAAAATCAACATTTTTACAATTCCGAATTTTCTCTATTATTTGCTGAGAAATAATTGTGTCAATTTCATTAGAACATGGTATAAACAAAGGACAGTAGTATTTAAAGTATTACCCGGTTGAGCCTGAGCTGCCGTAGTTTTCAGTTGTTTCTGAGGTGGAGGTTGATTATTGGGCTCCACAGGTTGATCTGCTTGTTGAAGCTCGGGCGCTGCACGCCTTCTTTTTCCGTGTCTTCCTCTGTTAACCACTCGGACAACTTCCTCAGGGACGGGTACCTGTTCTGGTGCTGGTGCTTCACGATGAGCAGGTCGTTGAACCCCAACGTTGTTTACCCTTGGTCTTAATCTCCGGCTTACTTCATTTCTTCTCCTATTCTTTTATAAAATGAAGTCATTATAAGTATATTGTTTTTATAAATATATAAAGATGCTTTAATTTATGAAACATTACATTGATGCCTCGGCTGCATATAGATAAAATGCCCCGTACCTAAAATATATACTATTATAAATGTTTATATAATGTACGCCTCTTAAGACATCTATAGGTGTATAATAACCAGCAGTAATTTGAACGGCAGTTGTAAATGCCATTACATTTGTAATAATCGTGCGTTCCATAACATGATAACAGGTATAATATTAATATCAGTGTCATTTGTTGAATCAAATTTAAAGAAAGCTTTATATGCACAATAACATGCAGCAAACTAAACAGCAGTTGTATTATAATTAAATAAATGCCGTCATATTTGTAATAATCGGGCCTTCCGTTGAATAACCGGTATTTCAGTGTCAATTTAGTACCTGAATTATATGCAGGTAAAGAACGTAAATTAAAATAATGTAACTAAGCGTATATTTGTCAGCAAGCTTACACAAGTATTCCATAGCTAATTATACATGAGAATATTTATTGCTACTATGGTAAAATAGAAACAAAAACTTAAAACGATATAAATACCTTGTTAAAGAACTGTGAATTAAATGCAACAACCATAAGTAAATGAAATTGAATGGTAATAAATAAGCATATATATATATATATAAATCTAATTCAAGTGACATTAAACAATTCAATAATTTAATAATGAACGTGACGAGAAACATATAATTATACGAACACATGCGAACACGTGTTAAATTTAAAGTTACCCGTTTTACTTTATCGTCACAGAATTTCAACTCACAGGTAAAAAAAAAAAAAAGGTTTTTTCTTTAAATATAAAGTGAATTAAAATGAATAAAAGGAAACATATCTAAAGTATAACGGATAAACTTAAACAACTTATCTTATTTACGCTCTGGTCCTGTCCTTGTGCAATTCTGTTGAGAAATAATCATTGAATGAAAATTGAGCGGGAACACGTGTTTATATATGACAAAAGTCCACGAGGCGCTTCAAAGCATATTCTTTCGTATGTTTAAATATATTGTTGTAAAGATTTAAATGGCAAACCGTAAACAATGGACTGACTGTACAATCGAAACTCAATAAACAAATACATGTATTTTGAATGCAATAAATCAATTTAATTATTAGATCATTAAATTTTATTAATTTTGTAGTTTTATGGTAAATTGAAAAACATTTAAAAAAACAAAAATAGTGATTAAATATTTCTGCTGACTACCTAAGCTTTATATGCGTATTCATTGATAAAAAAGCCATATCCGTAAGTCGATCGATGAAAGAAAAATTACTTCAAATCACATGTAAAGCTTCACAATAAAATCCATCCTTCAATTTGACATTCCTGCAACTATATCGTACGTACGATTCATACTCAAATAACATGATAATTACGTAACATGTTTGTTTCATAAGAATCCGTACATTTGAATGGTTGACAAACATAGAGAGGCATTTTAACATTCATGACAGATCGTGCTTTCCCTGACGTCACAATATAGCGTAGGAAAACAAACAAAAAAAAATGATCTAACTCGATTTTTAACGGTTAGTGACATACAAATGTAACTATAAGAATTTAATGCTAATTTTTGTAATTTTATAGAGTTGTACATTTTTTGTATAAAGCGCGGAATAAACTAATGTCCTTAGGTCAACGATTTTACACACCAATAAAGTTACAAAAATCATTTCTTAAATAAATGATTTCAAAACATGAGCTTAATGCTCGTTTAAATTATTATGCTCAGTTTTTATTTGATTTTTCTGAATAACATTGCAACTTTACAAGTATGTGTCGTCCGTTTTTTAGTTTAAACGAACAAATTGAAAACACGTTGCGAAATCTCCCCCGCCACTTTGCAACTGTATAATATACATATATAATAGTCCAAAGTCTTTTAAAGTGAATTTAATGCCAGAATGAGACTCCTAAATAACTATAAATATGAAGATGTGGTATGAGTGCCAATGAGACAACTCTCCATCCCAGTCACAATGTGTAAAAAGTTAACAATTATAGGTCAAAGTACGGCCTTCAACACGGAGCCTTGGCTCACACCGCACAGCAAGCTATAAAGGGCCCCGAAATGACTAGTGTAAAACAATTCAAACAGGAAAACCAACAGTCCAATATATATAAAAAACGAGAAACACTTATGAACCCCCACCAACAAACGACAACCACTGAACAATAGGCTCCTGACTTAGGACAGGTGCATACAAATGCAGCGGGTTTAAATGTTTTAACAGGCGCCAACTTTCACCCTAACCTGAAACAGTAGAGTAACATTACAACATAAAAAGACAAACTATAAAAAAAATATCAATTGAAATGTCTTAAATCGATCAAAAAGACATATAAACAAAAACAAGTAAACATACACTGAACGAATAATTTTGATCTATGACACAATATAAATACAATATTAATAAAAAAAAAAGATGTAGAACAATGTCAAAAAGACAACTTTAACCTTGGACAAGAAGTCACGTATTGAGTGCGTTTGAAAACAATTTAACTAAAAGTCAATTAAACAAAACCATTTTAATTAAAAACCAATTGTTCAGAGAATAATTGAAGGTCTTTCCACCACTAACGATATATTTTGATATGAAAATATTAAAATTCAGTTTAAAATGTCAGTTCCATTGTCAAATGATAGCTCATTGTTTGCTGATTCCAAAAATATATGGTTTCTATATTATTTTGTTTGAAATAAGGGAGGTAATTTGTTACTTTCGGTCTGCAAAATGTGATTTCCGGTATTATTTGATAGTTAATTTGACACTGCTTTCAAAAATGTATTGTTCTATATAATTTTACATGAAATAAGTACAAAAAATAGCCACTTCCAGTTTACACAAGGTCACTTCCGGTTTGATTTTCAAGGTCATATGGCTTTCAAACCAGAAAGTCCTATGGCTTTATGAATATATAAATATGAACTTAAAGCAAAGGTCAAAATCTAGAACGTCAAATTTACCTACGACCTTGACCACCATTTTAAGGTTATAAACCAAAGACCTCAAATCAAAAGACCTTAGGTCTATCATATGCATGTTTAATGAGTTATATCACTTTACGCACAATTCTTAATATAAGAGGGGTGAAAACTCCCATATTTACGCACCCTTTCAACCAAAATTTTATGAGTAACGACATGTCGGAAATGACAATTTAATAATAACCTGTTGTCGGTATCTTGTACGGTTTATAAAAAAAAGTGAGGATAAGCCAAATCAAAATTTAGAATATGACCTTGACCTTTGACCTTGACCTAATTTTCTTTTTCTTTTTTTTTTTTGACTAAGGACCTCAAATCAAGATACCCTAGGTCTCTATCACTCACAGTCCATGAGTTACATTCATTTATCACTTATGTCAAATACAAAAGGGGAAATAACTCTCATATGGAAACTCCGTATCGTTTCGGTTAAAATTGACCGAAGCATCCTGAGGATTTTAAATAGGCATTTGAAAAATAAATTTGTCGATTTCTTTCACGGTTGTGAAGGAGATACATACACAAGAAAAACAGTGTTTGGGGAGATTACTCTTACAAAGAAATAAGTTTGGTTTAGCAGGGTCAAAATAAAATGCGTATAAACTGTACGATAACATGTTGCGAAACAAAAATCACACGCAAGAACAAAATTTGGCAGAAGAAAAAAAAATTAAAAACCAATCAGAGAACAATTGAAGGTCTTTCCACATCAATTTTCTAAATTATTGATGAAAAGCTACTTCCGGTTTACTAAAAGTAACTATTGGCGTCCAAGCATAGGTTTCTTCATTCTGATTCAATAAATACATGGTTCTATATATTTTTGCCTGAAATAAGGGAGATAATTAAAACTTCCGGTTTAAAAAATGTCACTTCCGGTCTTATATGATAGCTTTATTTACACTGATTCCAAAAATATATGGTTTCTATATACTTTTGCATGTAATAAGGGAGATATTAGGTACTTCCAGTTTATTTAAGGTCACTTCTGGTCTCAAATGATAGGTTTCTGTGTGCGTATTTAAAAAAATATATAGATTCTAGGTATTTTTTCCATGAAATAAGTGCAAAAATGGCTACTTCCGGTTAACTCAAGGTCACTTCCGGTTGAAATTTTTCAAGGTCATATGTCAACCAAGAGTTTGCAAAAGACCCTGTGGTTTAATTATGTTCCAAGTAAATTAACCATAAATTTAATCATTTCAGGGACCATAACTCCTATAAGATGTCATTGGATTGTTCAGACCAAATGTTTCATATTTTCATCACAATAAAGCAAACATTTTGCACTAGTTCTTTTATATATAGCTTAAAAAGTGTCAGAGAAAATGCAAAAACAAGCAAAATTCCAAATATAGAACATGACCTTTACCTTTGACCTTATCCTTATTTTCTAAGTTAGGACCCATGGACATCAAATAAAATGACTTTAGGTTTATACGGCTTACGGTTTATTAGTAACAAAAACATAACGACAAATTTATTTGGTAAAGGTAGATAACTCCTTTAAGATTTCACCGGATCGCTTCCATTTAAATCAGCCAAACATTCCTGAGGATGTAACGAACAATTCAGAAAAAGAATTTTGTCGATATATTTTTTGTTACGAAGCAGATGCACACACAAGATAAACAGTGGATAGGGAGATAACTCTTACAAAAAAATTGTTCGACTTAGCAGGGTGAAATTAAAAAGCGCATACACTGTACGATAAAATATAAGAAATATCTAAACGAAATATTGCGAAACAAAAATTTATCGCAAGAACAAAATTTGAGCAAAGAAAAAAAAAATTAAAAACCAATTGTTCAGAGAACAATTGAAGGTCTTTCCTCAGCTATTTTAAAATTTATTGAAAAGAAGCTAGTTCGTGTTTACTCAAAGTTAAAATTGGCATCTTATCATCAGTTTCTTCATACTGATGCGATAAATAAGTGGTTTCTATATACTTCTGAGTGAAATAAGGAAGATAAGTAGCTACTTCCGGTGGAGTAAATGTCACTTCCGGCCTCATATAATAGTTTCTTTCACATTGATTCCAAAAATACACAGAAAAGTAGAAAGCCCTAAAAACGCATGCAAAAATTATCAAATTTAAATGGCGGTATAGTATGGTTAACTACATATAAAGACGGACCATCTTGGTAAATTTGAAAGCTGTTACAGTTTCTTAACTCCTTTAAAAATAATTTAGCTGTACAATTTGCTAAGCTGATGTTGATAAATAATCCTACCAAGTATGAAAGCTTTCAAGCAAACGGTCTCAGAGAAGTAAGATTCACCATCAAAGCCATCGAACTTCCAACTACTAAATATATATCAAATTAATTCAAAAAGCAGTCAAACTGCTTGCTCAAAATTGTTTTTTCAATAATAAGACTGCAACAATGTGTAATTTTCCTTCTCTGGTATATTTCAAAGATTCAAACCTAACTTTAAGACTATTCCTGACAGAATTTTGTTAATTAAATCGTGCACACAGCTATCAAGACAGTTTATGTTGTAAAAAATAAATGTCTTCCATTAAGGTCTTAGTTTTTAGTATTGGCATTATAAAGAATACTTTTGATATATAAATCATAGAGTATCAAACAATCCTTACAAAACAAGGAAAGGAATTTATAATCATTAAAATATAAATGCTATTTTGATATGAAGTTTGATGTAGATAATGCAGTCAATTAAAAAAAAATCTTTTATGTCTAGGAAAACATAAGTGATAAAAGATTTAACAGACACGAATTAAGTCCAGATATGTTATTCATATGATTTATCCATTATTACATTTGATTCAGAACTTGAAACAGGAGAACCATACTTTATTTCAAAAGGGATGGATATATGCTATAGTGAACTTTTTATTAGAAAGTAACCGAGAAATCGCGACTATACAGAACACTCGCAGTTGCTACTCAGACTTTTTAGACTTCTTTGACAAAACACTGGCACATCAATTTTTTGCCCAGACGTCTCGTCCTTTTTCTCAAAAGTTCATCGGAAAGTTCCAAGAGCTAATAGATAAATATTCATTGTCTACTTCATACATGATATAAGATGGTCTCTAGTTTTATACTCTAGGTGCCGAAGTTGTGTATTTTATTTACTTTACAGTTTTTCCTTTATTTGTCATTGTGCTATCTTGATCCTTTTGGTCGACTGACTCTTGACGTGACTCGTTAATTATGCATCCATCTATCGGGTTTTTTGCGTTCCTGGTGCAAATGGCTCTAAAGGTGTGATACGGACGCATGGTGTTTTTACAGTGTTGTTTTCATTTTTTTAGCCTTGTCTTTATATTTTACCTCATAATTACTTTTTTTTGCGAAAACATACTGTAAGTACTATCAAACTTTATTAGATTTATTTGTATGTTTGTTTGAATTTTTCAGTGTTTTTTTTTTTGTCTGTGATGTAAAAAAACTATGTTTACACAGTTTCGGCTGCTGGACCCAATTATTGTCACATTAACCTATTTTTTGTTCGGGTTGCTCACCCAATTTTGTCAACATTTTATTTTGTCAGTTTTTATGAACTTCCCCTTTTTGAATTTACCTTGGAGCTCGGTAGTTTTGTTATACTTTTTTTGATATGTATAAATAAAGATTACCACGACATAGCAGTTCCTGTAAATGGGTGTTCTGGTTGTTGTTGACATTTGCATAATTTTTCTGATTTCCAATGTGAATGAATTTACCAGTCATGATTTAAGCGACCATCGCTGGTGCTTATTACAGACCTTCGATGATAATACCGGTATTCTATGCATTTCAGAGATGTGGGATATATGTCAAGGAGTCAGCAGACCAATCATTAAAAAAATTGTTTTTAGTAACTTCATGTCAGAAAAATAATCTTGCCGTAGTGTACTTGCTGTTACAGATATATTTGTGAAAAAGGAAATATGCAAGTTCTACAATCTAAGCCTCATTCGTCATTAATTTTATCATAGTTTCTTTTTTACAAATCGATCAATAAGTCAAATGTTTGAAATTGTGAGTATTTAACTTTCAAAAGTGCACACAGAATGCATTTATAAATAAAGACGAAGATAGTTTTTGCCTTTAAGCGTTAATGTCCTTACGGAACAAGAACCTGTACAATATAATCTCTTTCATTTAGAACCACTGGTTTTCATAAAAATTTGACAAAGTCGATTCTTTAGTATTATAGATACAGCAATATTCTTTGCATATCGAGTATCTATCTCATAGTTGACATATTCCATATCTATTGTGTTTTATTGTCCTTTTGTATGTCGTCCTAAACATGCATGAAATATTTGCCACTAAGCGTTAAGCAACCAACGATCAATCAATCCTTGTGCATGTCCTTCTTTGTTACAGGCACTTTTAATTAGTATACAATGTTCTTTAACTACATATCTTGCATATTTTCAGATTGCTAGATTAGATAATCATAACATATCCATATCGATATGAACAGTAACAGTACGGATGGCAACAAGTCGGATTTTTTCAGTGACGCTGAAAAACCTGCATTTTATGAATTTGTACATGGGCTTTATATTTACGTTATACCTATGATCGTGGTAATTGGAATGATCTGTAATATTTTATCTTTCAAAGTGTTTGTGTTTACCAGCTTTAGTCGCCATCCATCAAGCATTTTTCTGGCATTACTGAGCGTTTCAGATACTTTTTTTCTCCTTGCATTAATATTTACATGGATGGGAACATTAAAGAAAGCAAGAATTGACACTGGTGGATTATGTTTAGTAACAATATACATAACGTATGTCACGAGTTTCCTCTCTGTTTGGTGTGTTGTTCTGATCATGCTTGACCGATTTATTATAATTTGTTTTCCGTTACGACGACCACGAGTCTGCTCAAACAAAATGGCGAAAGGTACTGGCATCGCAGCTACTGTATTTGCTATCTTAATTTATAGTCATTGTTTCCTGACCATCGAAGTTGTGCCCGGACATGGTTGCAGAGTTAAACAGCAATATTTCGGGTTTTTAGCCATGGTTACATATATAGATACTGCTATTACTTTTGTCATTCCCTTCATAGCCATTTTTGTTTTAAATATATACGTAATTTTGATAATAAGGAAATTTAATTTCAAGCACGCAAAACCAAGGGTCATCAAATACTATTCACCGACGTACAATGTTTTATCTGTTGCACAAATGAGATTGACAATAATGTTGACTATTGTATCAATTGTATTTTTGGTTCTCAACTTACCGAGCCATGCTATTAGATTTTACATAATCGTTAATGATTTAATTGCAAACAACGATATGGTATTATTTCTCGCTCAACAATTCTGTCAGATTTTGTATTATGTAAACTTTGCCATTAACTTTACAATTTACTTTGTGTCCAGTAATACATTCCGAAGATGCATTAAAGAAAGAGTAAGGTGTATGAGATACCAATAATTGCAACAACAAAAACGAACAGACTATAATTTACAAGTAGTAACAATCCTATATTTTATACTGATAAGATAGAAGCAGTTCAGTGAATATTATCAATTCTGTATTGCCGCCTTCCGCTATTGGGATCGTTGCATTTGTTGAGAAAGAAAGAAAGAAATTTAGAAAATTTATCTTGTTATCAGCAAGAATGTATAACGTGTAAAGATCTGTGATAATTTAAACAATAAACATGGTCAAATGAAATCATGAAGTCTTTTTAGTTTATAATGTTGTGTGTTGAATATTTACTGGCACACAGCTCAGTTGTATAAATACATCGAGCATACCTGATGAAATTTATTCCGAAATCACGTTTCATGTCCATTGAATTCGGTATAGAATGTGTGTTGTCGTTCCCTGTTTGAATAATTAATTAAATAAAAAATACCCCAATTTAGCATTTATATTCGACACGGTACGGATTGACTTGAGTATAGAAACGTGAATCATACTCCATCTCGCAGAAGGACGTCCCTTTCTGATAGGGTCATTACGTAAATTTTACTGTTACCATCACGAATATGTTTGACCAATACGATGTTAAGGTTTTTGGACTTAAAAGAGACATGTTTTCTCGGTTTTAGATCTTTAAATTCCAGTATATTCGTTTCATTTGTTATTTTAACGATTGTGACATTATGACTGAGTGCGGATTGCAGGGGGGTGATGCAAGCATATCCGATAGCAGATGACGCTTCCCCTTTCGACGCTCTCGCTTCTTTAAAGAGTTCATAACATTCCATCAGTTTTTGTTTGGTGCCTTGATTTGTCTCTTCCAAGATTTGAACATCGGTAAATTATTGTCGTCTGATGTGCGGAATGTTAAAATACGCAGCTACATCTAATCGAAACATAAACTCCGAGAGACTCACATTATCAAAGTATAAGATAACCTTTAACATCTATTTCATGGGTGTATCTGTAGCTACTAGTTACACGGCAAAATGCCGGTTTCCTTTCATCAACTTAGCTCTTTCCACTGGCAGTTTAATTTTTCCGTACCACATTTACAGAACCTACCAATTGTCTTTATTATTAATTTTTCTCGTCCTGGACGATATATAATATATTTGAAACAAGGGGTAACACAAATAACAAACATGCATGGAGTATTTATCAAGTACGATTGCCTCACTCAGAAATGCATACCATTATAACACTTAACATTTCAAAGAGGTTTGACGTCCACTTTCTCTCAACTATCATATATTATTGTTTAGAGGCCAGCTAAAGCCCGCCTCCGGGTGCTGGATTTTCTCGCTGTGTTGAAGACCCATTGGTGGCCTTTGGCTGTTTTCTGCTTTTTGGTCGGGTTGCTGTCTCTTTGACGCATTCCCATCTAAATTCTGTTAACTGTGTCGTTCTGGAATAAGTATGAGGGAATACATGAGAAGAGCATAAAATTACATTGCCAGTGTCTCATGGTATTCTATGTAAGTAAATTTTTTGCATAACAACTTTGATTATCCAGTAATATTCCGCAATCAAGTCCTTTTCAATCTGGACAGGAGCGTAATAGCATATCATATAAACTGTGAAAATCAGTTGAAAATGACTTGACTCATCAGCGTGCCACAGATTACAAAAAAAGAAAACAAAACAAAAGACAAGTTTCAGAAAGTAACAATCTGAGAGTACTCGCAGTTACTGAAAGCTAGTTCAAAGCCAATTACAACTAATAAATAATCATGTTTTCCCAGACTTAAATATCAATCAGCACATTTCCAAAGAATTTAGTGGAAATATTCATCTAAATCTAAAAAGGCATGACCTTATGCAGTGCCGAAATATAAGTCCATTGATCGACAAGATGAAGGATCTCAGATTTTCTTACCTGTATAGCAATACATATTTAGTAATGCCTTACAAAATCCATGTTAGGACTGATAAAAACAATATTCAAAGATCTTACTACAGTGTTAAATTGATAACCTCTAAGAATCAATTTATTCCGAGAATAAATGAGTTTACATTGATCGTATCTAAATTGTGTAATAATATGTATGGCAATTTCTTTTTATCACCGGTGATTTAATTTAATCGAATTCACGAGCCTGGTAAACCATCAAATCTCAACCCAATGGTTAAGCGAGAAAAAAACTTTACTGACACTTCCTGTTGAGCTTTTCTGGTATAAAATATCACAAATATAGATCAATTTATTGTTAATTTGTGAATCATTTGTGAAATAGGAGAATGTCATGTTATAGATAACTAAATGAGAGACTGTTTCGTTTATTAATCGGACAAATATAATTTGAAATGACATCGGAATCACTTTTCCCCCGCAGGTAAGTGTGGCCAGCTCAGGGAGTTTTTGACAAAATGACAGTGAATCATCAATAAAGCTAACGTATACATCAATATATTAGTGTTTGTTTTTTTTTATCAATATTAACGTATAATAACAGTTTTTCTTTTTTATTTCTTTACGAATATGATTGTATTAAGCTGAATTTGTTATAAACTATGTCAGTTTGAGATTGCCTGGTATCGGTTGTGGTATTCTGGAACAATATTGAGATTTTCTGGCAAATAAAACTTTCAACTAGCAAATTGCCAATCGGATACGAGCGTCAAAATTGATAAACCTTCTGTTTAGTGATTGTCATTTAAATTGTTTCTATTTTTCTGATTTCGTAATCCTCATGTTGGTCTAATACATATACTAAACAGTAGTGATTTTTAAAGTCTAGAAAAACAAAATGGAAAATCTAGTGCCGAGTGAAGATTTAAAGTCTAGAGCTGAAACTGAGTTAAAGTCCAGCATTGGAGAAACAAAATCTAGTAATCAAGATGTAAAGTCTAGCGCTGCAGACATAAATTCGAGCGCTGTAAGCATAAGGTTGCAATACACAGTTCGGAGTTTGGTTTCCCATTATGGTCCCGGTGAATTTTTCAAATATGAAAGTTATTGTGCATGAATAAAAACAATTCTTAGAGAGCTGAAGAATAATAAAGCCTTCAAAGTGGGGTTTATTTTCACATTCGTACCGGTTATAGGTCAAGATATTATTGTAATGTTTTCCAATTATTTGTTTACGCTCGAACTTTTCAATTCAATTTTATCGTAAAATGAGGTGACATGCATATGATTTTTATTTGACATCTTGATAGATAAATGTCTATGGTTTCAGAAAAAGTTCACTCGAACGGATTGAATTTCTGATTTGGACCAAATTTTATTGACATTTGTGATATTTTCATCCTTCCCTTTTTTGCAATAACTTGTATCAAATAAACGCAGATTGTTGCCATGGTTACACCAAAAAGAGATTATATTTAACCATTTTAACTATTGAAAATCGAATCAATGCAAGATGCTGTTTTCATACATATGCACATACATGACACTTACAGTAAGCCTTATTTGTTAGAAAGATCGGGAGTGGTTAAAAATTATGAGTGTCAATTCTAGTTATTAAGTCTCCCAAACGAAGTTTGGGAAGACTTATTGTTCTTCTTCTTCTTCTTCTTCTTCTTCTTCTTCTTCTTCTTCTTCTTCTTCTTCTTCTTCTTCTTCTTCTTCTTCTTCTTCTTCCGCCGCTTTTAAATTTGAACTTGTCCGCACCTGTTCTCCAAAACCGCTTGTCAGATTAACTTAGGGTTTCACAATATGTTAGACTAACATGTCTAGTGGTGCAATCAGGGTTTTGTTTGTGCAATGGGGTTTATAAAGGGGTACTTTGAGGGGCAAAAAGAAAAGAGGGTTTTACTATAGAACCCTATGGGATTTTATTTTTTGAAATTTTAAAATGATTATAAATTGAAAACCGTTTGTGATAGACACAATCTTTTTAATTGAAAATGTTCTAAATGATAAAGCCCATTAAATGAAATACAGGGTTAGTCCCCAGGGGCCACCCCCACCCCCTGCCATTTAAGAAAGTTCTAATACCTTGTAAGTGGTCAAGATCCCCACCCCTAAATCATATATATTTTGGTTTGTTATGCTAAGATGGTTTGAATGATATACAGGGTTAGTCCCCAGGGGTCATCCCGACCCCCTGCCATTTGAGAAAGTTCTAATATCTTGTAAATGGTCGAGATCCCCAACCCTAAACCATATATATTCTGGTTTGTCATGATAAAGCACATCAAATGTAATACAGGGTTAGTCCCCAGGGGTCACCACCACCCCCTGCCATTTAAGAAAGTTCTAATATCTTCTAAGTGGTCAAGATCCCCACCCCTAAACCATATATATTCTGGTTTGTCATGCTAAGATGGTTTGAATGATATACAGGGTTAGTCCCCAGGGGTCATCCCGACCCCCTGCCATTTGAGAAAGTTCTAATATCTTGTAAATGGTCGAGATCCCCACCCCTAAACCATATATATTCTGGTTTGTCATGATAAAGCACATCAAATGAAATACAGGGTTAGTCCCCAGGGGTCACCCCCACCCCCTGCCATTTAAGAAAGTTCTTATATCTTGTAAGTGGTCAAGATCCCCACCCCTAAACCATATATATTCTGGTTTTTCATGCTAAGATGGTTTGAATGATATACAGGGTTAGTCCCCAGGGGTCATCCTGACCCCCTGCCATTTGAGAAAGCTCTAATATCTTGTAAATGGTCGAGATTCCCACCTCTAAACCATATATATTCTGGTTTGTCATGATAAAGCACATCAAATGAAATACAGGGTTAGTCCCCAGGGGTCACCCCACCCCCTGCCATTTAAGAAAGTTCTAATATCTTCTAAGTGGTCAAGATCCCCACCCCTAAACCATATATATTCTGGTTTGTCATGCTAAGATGGTTTGAATGATAAACAGGGTTAGTCCCCAGGGGTCATCCCGACCCCCTACCATTTGAGAAAGATCTAATATCTTGTAAATGGTTGAGATCCCCACCCCTAAACCATATATATTCCTATTTGTCATGTCTCGGAACATTTGAATGACGTATACGGTCAGTCCCCAGGGGTCCCCCCCTGCCCCAATGTTCTAATATCTTGTAAATGGTTGAGATCCCCACCCCTAAACCATATATATTCCTGTTCGTCATGTAATGAACATTTGAATGACGTATAGGGTCAGTCCCCAGGGGTTCCTCCCC